TATATGTACTTTATTTAATTAGGATCTATTTTTTACTTTAAATTGAAGTTTTAAAAAATATTTTATTTTATTTATTTATTTGTGAGCAACCCCAGAGAAGCAGGCAGAGATGTAGACAAAGGGAGAAGCAGGCTTCCCACAAGAAGCCTGATGCGAAACTTGATCCCAGGACCCTGGGATCATGATCTGAGCCAAAGACAGACACTTAACCACTGAGCCACCCAGGTACCCCTAAATTGTATTATTTTTCAAAAGTCAAATATATGTAGATAGTTGTGTAATAATATCCAGGGCAGTCCACCCACCCCCCCCCCCCCCATAGACATTTTCAACTTTTCTGTGGCTTCTGTATTTATACCACTCTTACACTGCTACTATTACTTTTTCAGTTTTATTTATTTTTTTATTTTAAAATTTTTTTTAATTTTTATTTATTTATGATAGTCACAGAGAGAGAGAGAGAGAGAGAGAGAGGCGGAGAAGCAGGCTCCATGCACCGGGAGCCCGATGTGGGATTTGATCCCGGGTCTCCAGGATCGCGCCCTGGGCCAAAGGCAGGCGCCAAACCACTGCGCCACCCAGGGATCCCCTACTTTTTCAGTTTTAGAAATCCCTCTTTCTCTTCTGTTTCCTTTACCTTGTGTTCCCAATATGTCACTTTTTTTTAAACTTAATAATCATTGTATTTTATGAACATATAAAGATTCCTCATGTGTTCTTTCTTGTGCAATCTTTTGTTTTCCATGGATTTAATAGTTTTGCCTTTCTTTTTGATATTTCTATCTTCTAAGATAGAAAAAAATTCTTAGTCCATGCTTATCTTGAAAATCTTTTCTCTGCATACCAGTGATTTGTTTAGGCATATGATTCTGGTTTGGAAATCATTTTCATTCAGAATTTTGAATCTTTCCTTTTGTCCTTTTAACAAAATATGATGTGAAATGTAATTTTCTGAAAGCATTTTGGGTCTTTGAACTTCATTATTTTTTATTCGGTTGTCCATTGTATTCAGTGGATTAAATGCTCGATAAAACTGCAGAATTTTCAATCACAGAATCTAGCATTGTTTTGTTTTGTTTTGTTTAAAGATTTTATTTATTTATTCATGAGAGACACAGAGAGACACAGGCAGAGGGAGAAGCAGGCTCCACGCAGGGAGCCCGAAGTGGTACTACAGGATCACGCCCCGGGCCGAAGGCAGGGCCAAACCGCTGAGCCACCTGGGCTGCCCCCTAGCATTGTTTTTTTTATATAAGAAAATGTTCAGAATCTAGAGCAACTGTGAGATTCATAAGGCCATTGAGTAAAATGCCTGTTTTTAAAAAAGATTAATATTATTTATTTGAGAGAGAGAATGAGCATGTGCATGGGTGTGCTTGGGAGGGTCAGAGGGAGAGGGAGAGAGAGAAGCTCAAGGAGACTCCCTGCTGAGCACAGATCTCCTCACAGGGCTAAATCACATGACCCTGAGATAATGGCCTGAGCCAAACCAGAGTCAGATGCTTGACTGACTGAGCCACCCAGGCACCCCCCACAATGCCCTTTTTTTTTTTTTTAATGGTTATCTTTTACTGAGCAAGGAAAGTTCAATCAGACCCTGCATCTGTACCTGTGGTTTTCTTTTCTTTTTTTTTTTTTAATTTTATTTATTTACTCATGAGAGACACACAGAGAGAGGCAGAGACATAGGTAGAGGGAGAAGCAGGCTCCCTGCAAGGAGCCCAATGTGGGACTCTATCCGGGATCCTGGAATCATAACCTGGGCCAAAGGCAGATGCTCAACCACTGAGCCACCCAGGCATCCCAAGTACCTGTGGTTTTCAAGTTCACTCTTAACCATTACCTGGTGATGCTGATTTTCACAGAGATTTCTTGATCCCACTCTGAGATGTTTGGATTCAGTAAGTGTGACTAAGGCTCCCCTGGTGATACTTATCAAACACGTGGATTTCTTGATTCCCCCCCCCCCCCCCAGGATATTTCTCCTCAGTGAGTCTGGTGTGGCACTAAGAAATTTGCATTTTCCTAAGCGGGGACTCCAGTGGCGCTGCACCATTCTCCAGGCTGCAGTGGTATGAAACCAAGAGTATTCAGGGACCTGGGGAATCAGCACCTACCATTCAACATGGGATTGTGTTGTGTCGTAATTATCTATTTACATGTCTCTGACCCAGCACCATGTGCGGTCTCTGAAGTAGAGTATGTTTTTAAAACCTTTTTCAGTGATCTCTGGGAAAGTATGTCGTCTCTATGGAAATTCTGTGTTGTTGTATAGTTCCTTACAAGAAAAGCAATATGAATAATTATATAGGCCTGGAGTGAGCTTTCTTGTGTTAAGGTCTTTGATATATTTTATACTTATGTCATGATGTTTGAGTATCTTTATTCCTTAAGGATTAAAGTGTGGTGGAAGAGAACAATTAGAATCATTGCTTGAGATTCATCATCAATCAATTGGGTTTTCTATATTACAATTTGATAATGGTTCCTTTAGTTTGGGATTAGCTTAAAATTTATCATAGTTTTTTTTGTTTGTTTGAGCCAAAATTTGTTCAGTATAAAGGAAGCTAGCACTTTATTCTCTTTTTAAATCTTTTTTTTTTTTAAGATTGATTTTTATTTTGTTTATGATTGACAGAGAGAGAGAGAGAGAGAGAGAGACAGAGAGACAGAGACACAGGAGGAGGGAGAAGCAGGCTCCATGCCAGGAGCCCGATGTGGGACTGGATCCTGGGACTCCAGGATCACGCCCTGGACCAAAGGCAGGCGCTAAATCGCCGAGCCACCCAGAGATCCCCCACTTTGTCTCTTTTTAAACTACTTTTATCAACAACTCTTGGCGTGGTAATACATGTGTTAATTACATATTCATATTTACTTCATAAAATAATTCTGACTCAACCTCCTGCTTTGTTAGCTGTTAGTATATGTACTTGAATATTTTAAGTATCACATTTTCATTTTTAATCTGGGAGAAAATACATAGCTACAATAAAGAAAATTTAAAAATGAAAATCACCTATTTTCAATTTTGCATAAAACCTACATTCCCTTAAATTATTTATATTTTAGATTGGCTGAGTATCCTCTTGATTTTGTAATTATGTCATATCTCTAAAACAGTGTATAACCAACATTTCCTTAACTCCCAATGTAATTATGAAAATAATGATTTGATGATTCCATTTAAATCTTCTTGTCATTTCAGACAGTATGGAGGAGACTAATGGTGTATTGTTTGTATATTTTCAGTGTTTGTTAACCCTTAACATCCAAATGGCTCTTAAAGAAAGTGGTGTCTATGAAAATAACATTCAGCTTTTGTTCCTCTCCATTAAAAAAAATCACCCAACTTTAGAGAACTTTAAGATGCAAGATTTTATTTCTTCTAGGTGATTAAGTATTAAATGTTAGAAATACTGTTTTGTCAGCTATTAGGCAAAAAAAAAGTAAATGAAACCTATTTTTGGAAACCCCATTTGGTACTTAAGCATGCTGCATGTGTGAGGAGCACACATACTACACGTCACAGAAGTTCTTCTGTGGCAGCTAAATGTGCAAACCTCAGCCGAGCAATATCCCCCCATTCGTAATTCTGTCCTTCTAAGAGCCGGTCAGGTAATTATTGACTGTGAATGTTGTTATATGCTCTGGAGTAATAATGTTAATTTTTCTGTTTCAGTGATACCCATGAATTAAATTAGCAAAACCAAAAACCTATGTAACTCTCACTAACCAAATAACAGATTTGACAGGATAATATGGAAAAACACATGCTCTCAGAAGTCTTTGAAGTGATAGTAACTATAGATGATTATGTTTTTATGAAGGGAAAATTATTTTATTTTATTTTTTAAGGGAAAATTATTTTAAATTTAAGGAATATACATTTGCAAAATGTTTAATAAATTGTCATTTTTTACCTGTGTGTTAGTATTTTACATTTTATTTTGCTTTGGGTAATGTTTTTCTTTGAATTATTATTTTCCACTTTGATGTTCCAACAGCTTGTTCTTGTAGCTTCCCATACCATGTATATATGATGTATTTGTTTTTCCTTGTCATTTTGTGGGGAGCAAGCAGTGACTTTTGTTTACAAAATCTAATGACATTGTGACATTTTAAAAATATTTTGTGAGTCCTGACCAATTATCTGTAACTTGAATTGTCTATCAAAATTCTCCTGTCAAATTTGTAGCTCTACAGAATTTTTCAAGCTATGGAGGATAATAATTCTAAAAGTGTTTGTAACAAATGCCTCTACCTTGATAACCTTAGTTTTTCTCAAGTCTAGACAAGCTTTTTTTTTTTTTAAATAGACATTCATTTTTAAATAGACATTTCATTCATTTTCAAACTCATACCCAGGGTTGTGATCAAAGGTAAATGCCATCAGACTTTAGGGTCTGTAAATCTGTAGGTCTTTATTTTGTCCTTTACTTTATAGCAGTGTATTTAAATTTTAACTAGGCTTTAGAGCAATGTCAATAAAGGTAAGTTAGTTAATCTTGATATGAATGTGTATTATTTTTAGGTTCTCATATGCAGTGGCTACTTAAAAAAAAATCCAAAGATTATTTTAGGTATCAGTTTGCATGGTGAAGTCTGTCTAAAGTCTCCTTGTATAAAATCACCTAATATTAACTCTTCATAGATTCAGAAACTCACTTCTAATCTGAAGGTTTTATTTTCTTTTTTCTGTAATAATTAGGGAATACCTGTCAAGTGTTTTATGTTATAAAGATTTACTGCCTAACACAGTTCTTTCTACAGGTTAGCCATACAGTAAATGTCTACAAAGACAGTACTATTTTCTTAGGTTATGTAACATTAGGGTTATAAAGCAAGTCTAAGTATATACATAAATGTATATTCCTAACTGCTATCTACTTTTTTAATACCAGCCTTACATCCTGCATATTCCTAACGTTGTATATGTCATCACTGTGAAGGTGATGTGACCTTTCTTACATTTATTCACTTTTTCCCTTTTCCAACAGGGGAAAATGCAGTGTTGCCCTTCTGAATGAGACAGAGTCAGTATTGTCATATCTTGATAAAGAGGTAATTCACAATTACACTTGTTTTGTGGGGTTTTTTTTCTTCCCTTGATTTCACATGAAGCCCATACCTTTTAATTTATGTCTTCTTGCACCAAATTATTAGAGAGAGAACAGCATTATATAAAAGCATAATGACCATAATGACCAGAATACATTTAGGAAATTTAATTTTTCTGGTTAACTGAGATAAGAGTTGGCAAAAATTTCTGTGTCTGTTTTCTTTCAGTTGGTAATGAAAGGTTTTTTACAGTATGATGATTTAGTTGGTAGTGGAAGAAATATTTTTGGCTTTATGAAATAAGTGACTTTCCTGTATTTGGTCCTCCTGCCTGTTTTTTTGTTTTTGTTGTTTTTCAAATAAACAGTTTTTCTTTTAGACTTTTTCCAGATGAGATTTTAACTGGTGGTCTGCTTTCTTTCCTAAAATCCCAATAAACTTTGTCAACTAAAGTGTTTCTGTAAACTTCAACAAGAAACATTTTAAACATTTTTTAACAAGTTGAATGAGAGCATATGCTTCATTGCGGGGAGGGAATGCCTCTATACAGAATATTCCACAATGGGAAATTTTACTGTTGATGTTTTAGTATTTAACCTTTATAGTTTCATGGTATTTTTGTTTTTCCAAATCTTTATTTTCTGTATGTATATGTATGTGTATATGTATTTTATATATGTGTGTGTTTTTTTAAAGAATTAAATGGATATATTTTCTTTGAAAAAACTTTTTTATTATACTTGAAAGTATTGTCTCATCTTAAATGAAGAAAGCATAACTACAAAAGATTGTTGCAGACAAGTGGGACTGTTGTACATTAGAAATTTTTTTCTTTTTGTTAAAAATTTTATTTATTCATGAGAGATACAGAGAGAGAGGCAGAGGGAGAAGCAGGCTCCCTGCAGGCAGCCCAATGTGGGACTTGACCTGGGACCCTGGGATCATGACCTGAGCTGAAGGTACACACTCAACCACTGAGCCACCCAGGTACCCCATACATTAGAAAATCTAATAGAGAAAACTAAGTGGAAGTAAATATTTAAGGCAGAAAAAAGATTGATAGTCTTTATAACTTACACGTGAAATTTAGAAAAGTATATAGTAGTGTTTGTCAGTCAACATATGGATAATGATGGATAAAGATAATTAGTATTAGTATTAGTTCAGAAATTAGTATTAATTCACAGAAGCAGAAATAAAAGGAGGAAACATTGAGTATGTTTCAGTGTATTTTACTGGTGTATTTGGCTGTTAAGAAGTGTAATTTATAAATTTTTTTGTTTTTCATATAAAATTTTTTTTTAGTTTTAAGTAATTTCTAAACCTGATGTGGGGTTCCAACCTACAACCCTAGGATCAAGAGTTGCATGCATGCACCACCAGTTGAGCTAGCCAGGCCACCCCAACAGTGTGATTTTTTTAAAAGTGGTATTTTTGCTTTCTGATTTGTTGTTAGCAATTTCTATGTGCTAAGAATTGTAGGAGATGAAAATTTGCACAGATCTTTAGGATTTTTTCCTGTCTCCTTGAATTTTAAGCACATGGTCCTATATCAATATTTAAGAGAGGAACTGACCTCTGGCACTGTATTTGAAGAAACCTGTTTTTTTTTTTTTTTTAAAACAGAGGAAGCAGTTTAGTAAAGTTATATTGTACTTTACATTTACTGCTTACATTATATTCTGTTGTCAATTTGAAAAGCACTTTTTTAAACCTTTTACTGCTTTATCTGTTATAAGACCATCCTTGAGAAAATGTAGTTTATAAATACTGAGATTGGCATATTTGAAAATGGCAACCCAAAGGACAACTTTTTTTTTTTTAAGATTTTATTTATTTTTTCATGAGAGACACAGAGAGAGAGAGGCAGAGACACAGGTAGAGGGAGAAGCAGGCACCATGCAGGGAGCCTGATGTGGGACTCAATCCCAGGACTCTGGGATCATGCCCAGGGCCAAAGGCCACCAAGCCACCCAGGTGTCCCAAAGGACAGCTTTCTAATTGTGATTTTTTACTTCTTAAAAAATTACATTACATTATTACATTATATTTACATTTTAAATAATTTCCCATACTAGGCAGCACATATTTATTTAAGGAGTCTTTTTTTTTTTTTTTTTTTAAGAGAGATAGCATGCATGGGAGCTAGTGCAAGCAGGGGGAGGGCAGAGGGAGAGAGAGAGACAGGGAATCTTTTTTTTTTATTTTTTTTTAATTTTTATTTATTTATGATAGTCACAGAGAGAGAGAGAGAGAGAGAGAGAGAGAGAGAGAGGGGCAGAGACACAGGCAGAGGGAGAAGCAGGCTCCATGCACCGGGAGCCCGACGTGGGATTCGATCCTGGGTCTCCAGGATTGTGCCCTGGGCCAAAGGTAGGCGCCAAACTGCTGCGCCACCCAGGTATCCCGAGACAGGGAATCTTAAACAGGCTCCGTACTCAACATAGAACCTAGTGTGGGACTCAGTCTCACAGCCCTGAGATCATGACCTGAGCTGAAATCAAAAGTCAAACGCTTAACCTACTGAGCCACCCAGGTACACCAGATTTAAGGAGTCTTAAGCAACCTATGTGATCCTAAATAATAACTTCATCTCATTTTACTGTCAAGTATGGCAAAATCCTATTTTTATAAAATACTATGCTAACATATTTTACAGAACCAAAGTGACCAAAAGTATGTCCTCTTTTAAAGCCAATAATGTACCAGTGGTAGTAGCTTTAGTTACCTACTAGCATTCTTTGTTGCTCCTGTCTTCAGAAACACATGATTCTGATTACATATTCATCACTTCCATCAACTTAAGCAGATTGATTTATATATTCTGCAGATTTTTTCTTTTTCTTTTCCCTAGGTAGCATTTTTTTACATGCATAAATTGTCACACTGTTGTGTCCTCTTGTTTAAGCTTTTCTTCTGACAGTAACCCGTGATTAAAACACAGTGCAGAATTTCTGGGATGCCTGGGTGGCTCAGCGGTTGAGTGCCTGCCTTGGGCCCACAGTGTGATCCTGAAGTCCTGGGATCAAGTCCCACATCAGGTTCCCTGTATGGAGCCTGCTTCTCTCTCTGCCTGTGTCTCTGCCTCTCTCTCTCTCTCTCTCTCTGTCTCTCATGAATAAATAAATAAGACCCTTTAAAAAATAAAATAAAACAGTGCAGAATTTCTGAATTGATGGTGTCAGCTTGTCCCATTGTCTCCTTTCCCTTTATCACAGTCTGTAAGATCCTGAAAGGAGAAAGCTGTACAATCTGGCAGATTATCTCTTATTTGCAACTTGCTCACCAGGGTCTTGGTAAAATACTAATGGTAGGAACGGGCCCCTCTAAGGTATAATGCAGAGAATTGTTCAGTAGATGACCATCAGAGTCATGGCAGGAAGCAGGGATAAGACTTTATAAGACATCTAGTGGTTTTGCAGAATTCAGCAAAGGCCCAGTGGCCTGGTCATTTTATCCTTTAGGCGCAGTGAGGGCCTTTTTGCATTTATTTTTATTTTTATTTTTTTGGCTCATGATCTGAGCCAAAGGCAGATGCTCAACCACTGAGCCACCCAGACATCTCTTATTTTTATTATTTAAAGAATTCATTTATTTATTTGATGGAGAGCATGAGAGCACAAATGGGGAGCAGCAGAGAGGGAGGGAGAAGCAGCCCCCCTGCCAAGCAGTAAGCCCTATAGGGGGCTCAGTCCCAGGACCCTGGGATCTTGATGTGAGCCCAAGGCAGACCCAGAGCCTGGAGGTCCTTTTTTCATTTTAAAGGGCATTTGCAAGTTAGTGGGTATACTGGTAGTGGTAGTTATAGTTATATTTATATACATATTTATATATAAATATGAGTGCTTCAGGAGTTAAAGGAGAACTGCAGAATTAGAATAGATGTTTAAGCAATACAATGTGACATTTTAATTAGTAAACTGCATGTGGGCTCAACTCTTCTAAACTTTATTTAATGTGAGATGTTTATGTATTTTCACATTTTGATAAAATGTGGATGGATACTCCAAAAGTAAGGATGCCTGGTGTCTTCCTTGTTTTTGGTATGGGCTTTAGAGATTGAAATGATTGCTTGATTCCAGATGTCTTACCTTTGACTTACAGCTTAGTTTTGCTAGCTTTTCAGAATCTTGTTTTAGAGTAGTTAAATGGTTTTCTTTTAGACTAAAACCAACAAAATATTATAATCTACCTTTATTGTAAGCTATTTATTTTTCTTGATTTAATTTTGTGCTCTTAGCTTGATGACAGTAACCTCATTGTCTTCTTTAAGATCTGTGAATTTATTTACCATGATGAAATCTTACATAGTGTCTGAAGTTTTATAGTTTCATTATCATGACACTGGCTTTATTGCTTTATAAAAAGTAGAAAGAATTAAGTTTACCTAAATATTTTCTGTCATTTTTTTTTTCAGGACACCTTTTTCTACTCACTGGTCTATGACCCTTCAGTGAAAACACTGTTAGCTGACAAAGGTGAAATCAGAGTGGGGCCTAGATATCAAGCAGACATTCCAGAGATGCTCTTAGAAGGTATGTTTCCCTTTGGGTTTCAAATCCTATGAAAACAAATGTCTTGAAACTCAAATATTCTTTTCCTCATATGGGAGAAACAACTATTAGGCTGAAGTTTAAAAGTTTTAAGTTCTTTTACTTATAGAAATACAACAAATAGTGGCACCTGGGTGGCTCAGTCAGTTAGGCATCTGCCTTTGGCTTAGGTCATGGTCCTGGTATCCTAGGGTGGAGCCCCACATCGGGCTCCCTGCTCAGTGGGGAGTCTGCTTCTCCCTTTCCCTCTGCCTGGCGCAACGCCTGCTTGTGCTCTCTAATGCTTTCTCTCTCAAATAAATGAATAGATAAAATCTTTAAAAAAGTAAAAGGAAATACAATAAATAGCAAGAGAAAATAATTTGAGGTGTTATTTTTTATTTTACATTTTTATGAGTTTTCTGGCTATGTTTTCCTTTAATTTAGTTTTAGGTAGGCTTCATGCCCAGTGTCTAGCCCAATATGGACCTTGAACTCACAACCCTGAGATCAAGAGTCAGATACTTAACTGGCTGAGCCACCTTGGTGTCCCTTGATTTCCTTTTAAATGCAGCTTTAAGAATGATTGTATTGTTGAACTTGTGTCTTAAATGTGGCACATACAATGCCTTGAGGTCCTGAATACCCCTAAGTCATCTATCTGAGATGGCCTAGAATCTAGTGATTTGGGCTAATCTGGGCAGTTTATGTACTGAAGAGATTCAACGCTTCTTATTTGAAAACAGTTTCTTAGCAGGACGTAATTTTTCTTTCTCCTGTTATAACTGTACACCCAAAACCTTTATTTTCTGGTTTTAAAAAGTAAAACATTAATAATAAAAAAATAATGCATAGCAATGTATGATGTAGGAAACTAACACCATCCCCTTTCCTTCATTCCAAACCCATATTTAATTACTGTAGTTGTTTTGGGCATATTGATTTCCTTCACACTGGTTTATCCTCCACCTGAAACAGTCCAGATGCACCATGTTGCACATGTTCTTCTGCACCTGCTCTTCTCAGTTAACGGTGTATCTTTATTTACCATCTTAGCACATGACTAGGGAGATTTTTATTCTTTTCAGTGACTGTGCAGTTCTTAAACATTTGTGCAGATATACTATATAATTCTTCTAGGCCTCTATTGATAGATTTTTAGGCGTTTACATTTTTCAGTGCTACAAATTGATACTGCTTGAAAAGTTATACATATGTTTGTGCTGCATAAATATTTTTTTCAAGCATAATTTTTTGGAAGTGAAATGATATATACATTTTACACATTGAAAATGCTCCTTTGCTCTTCAAAAAGGCTGTGTTACTGTACGTATGAAAGAACCAGGTGTTTTCACCAACACTGAATATGAGGGATCTTTTTCACTTTCCATTTTTTATCTACATTTTGATATCTCATTGTCTTAGTGGTTTTTGGTTTCTTTCTTTTTTTTTTTTAAGATTTTATTTATTTATTCATGAGAGACACAGAGAGAGAGAGAGGCAGAGACACAGACAGAAGGAGAAGCAGGCTCCATGCAGGGAGCCCAATGTGGGACTCGATCCCAGGACTCCAGGATCATGCCCTGGGCCAAAGGCAAGTGCTAAACTGCTGAGCCACCCAGAGGTCCCCTCGTTTTGTTTTGAACTTGAGATTATGTTTGCTCAGTTATCTTTAATGCTCTTTCTTTCAATTTCTTGTGCTTTTTCTACATGGTTATATATCTTTCTATGTATTGGCAAGAATTCTTTGACTATTAAAGGTAAACACAGAAGTACTTACCCTTTGTCTCTAAGTATTACAAATACCTCCCCAATACAAAATTATTTTCTTAAAAAATTTTTTTAAAGATTTTATTTATTTGATAGAGACAGAGAGAGAGAGAAAGCAGGCACACAAGCAGAGGGAGCAGCAGAGGGAGAGGGAGAAGCAGGCTCTCCCCTGAGCAGGGAGCCCAAAGCGGGGTTCAGTCCCAGAATCCTGGAATTGTGACTTGATCCAAAGGCAGATGCTTAACTAACTGAGCCACCCCTGAGCCCCTTTGATTAAAAAATGTTTTAATAGCGATTTTAAATGTAAATATGTTTTATTTATTTTTTTGTCATACGGAAATTTAGAATTTATTAGTCTTTTCCTTTAAGGCCTTTATGATTTGCATTAGTCACAGAAAGGGCTCCACTTTTGCTTTTGCCCTCTGATTATTAAAACATATTAATTCTTCCAGGGGCACCTGGCTGGCTCAGTCAGAGGAGCATGTAACTCTTGATCTCAAGAGTTAGGAGTTTAAGCCCCATGTTGGGTGTAGAGATTATTAAAATAAACAAACAAACAAAATATATGAGTTCCTCCATAGGTTTTTCTCTCTCTTTACCTTGCCATATTTCTAAGAAAATGTACACAGAAAATTTAAATCAACAGATACTGAAGATAGATGTTTGTGAACTGTAGTATACGTTGGTGTCATTGGTGGCTGTGAATAATGCCAGGCTATAGACATCTTTGTTTTCATGAACTTAAATACCAGGAAAGGGCAGTCAATAAAGATTTAGCTTGAAGGAAAAAAAAAAAGATTTAGCTTGAAGAAAAGAACACTGTGTCTGTGCTCCCTGTGTTTGGAAATGATTTTGAACAGACTGGGAGTAGTGGATTAGTTTATTACAGGTTGAGAAATTACATTTATTGGCATTCTTATCTGTACAAATCATCTTATCTTCCAGAAGTAATTTTTATGATTTTAGTTCTTAATGTTTGATGTTAGACTTCTATCACTATACCTAGGAATCCACTAAATGTTTGTTATTTTATTTTTAAAATACTTGATTTTTAAATTTTACAAACATGAATATGAATAATGGGTAATTTTGTACTCTGGATATAACTGGCAAATAAAGGAGAATTGCTGAGTCATAGGGCATGTGTATTTGGGATTTTATACAAAATACCAAATTGTCTTCCAGGTGGTCCTTTACAGATGGGGTTTTTTTTTTCCTTGTTTTAATTAATGTATAATTTATATGTAGTATATCCCACCCTTTGTAGCATGCAGTTCTGTGAGTTTGGAACTGAATATGTTCCTAGTGAGATATTTCAGCAAGTCTGTCTGTGGATAGGCCAAAAGCCAGGGAGGTCCCTTGTACCCACGTGTGCCATAGGCACCCAGCCCAAGTCCTGCATCCCTTAAGCAGCCTTTGTCACTCCTCCGTGAACTCTCTCGTCCCTCTCATCCTTGAACCGTGCAGATTGGTCATTAGTGTTATCTTTTATGCTATTTTTTATTTGACTTCAGAAATTTAAAAATCAGCACCTGAGCTCTTGATTGCATGGTTCTCCTTTGAGCATTGAGCGTAAGCCTTGGTGTATAAAAAGCCTGGAGATTTTTGTATATTGCTCATGGAAGGATACATGCTGAACCAAGTAATGAAATTGGGATGTTTCAATTAACAGTGGGCAGAAGAATCAGATCATAGAATCTTAGAAGATCCCATTTATATGGGCAGCCCGGGTTGGCTCAGTGGTTTAGCATGTGTGGTTCTGGATACCCAGGATCGAGTCCTGCGTCAGACTCCCTGCATGGAATGGAGCGTGCTTCTCCCTTCACCTGTGTCTGTGCCTCTCTCTCTCTCTATGTCTCTCATGAATAAATAAATAAAATCTTACATTAAAAAAAAATCCCATTTATCCGAAAGACTATTTAAATACGTATTTACCCATGAAAGGCATAAAAGCTGGTTAAAGTTATGTAATTTGGCAATCCTATCTACCCAGGTTAGAATTTTTAAAAATGACTTTAGGAAACAAAATTATACATAGAATGCAATAATTTATTCTACAGTTTTTCTCAAAATGGACTTGAAGTTCTTTTGGGTAAGAGGAATGATTATATATTATATATATATATATGTATATACATACATATATATATATATATATAAAGATATATCTTTATATATAAAGATTTTTATTTATTCATGAGAGACCCCATAGAGGGAGAGAGGCAGAGACATAGGCAGAGGGAGAAGTAGCCTCCCCATGGGGAGCCCAGTGTGGGACTCTATCCGGGGACTCCAGGATGAAGCCAGGAGCTGAAGGCAAACGCTCAACCACTCAACCACTGAGCCATCCAGGCATCCCAGGAGGAATGATTCTTAACAGCTTGTGCCATTTGGAGAATTGTACCAGTTACTTAACAAAGCATACTTTGTATTTAGAAAATTCATTAATGTAATAGATATTTCATAGTTCTTTAACAGGTTTTTTTTTTTTTAAGATTTTATTTATTTATTTGAGAAAGCACAAGCAGGGAGTGGCAGAGGGAGAGGGAGAAGCAGGCCCTCTGCTGAGCAGAGAGTCTACCGCTGGGGCTCAATTCCAAGACCCTGGGATCATGACCTGAGCCGAAGGCAGATGCTTAACCAACTGAGCCACCCAGGCGCCCCATTAACAAGTATTAATAATTATCTTTAACATGTCTGCAGTCCTGGCAGTCTTCTGGGTGAGTGATTTATAAACTTTATTTAAGTAATAGAACTCTGTCTTCTAATGAAACACTACGCGATATACCTTAAATAAAATAAGAAAAGCCAGGTTGTTGTGGTAAGGGAAGAAAAAAAGCCCTACTGGACCTCTTGAGATACCCAGTGAACCTTAGAATTGAGAGAATGACATTCTGAAGGCTACTGTTTCAGTATTCCACTCTTAGGGTCTTGTCTCTCATCCCACAGTATCGCCAGAGAAGTCACACAGTTAGAAGTGCATATGACGAGTCCCTTTGCAACATAGGATACATAACAAAGGGGCTCTACTATATTCTCTTTGCTTCCTCCCATTTATTAGATTTTAAAATTACTTTACTACAAATAATAGGAATTGTGGCAGAAAGTGCAATTATACTAAAAACAAAAAATTGTAGTCCCTCAGATCATCCCTCCTTGCCCACTGTTAAACACGGTTACTAATTTAACATGTTCTCCCTGTTTGTAACATTACTATTATATGAAATTACATT